ATATTGTTTCACATTATATAAAAAGCGTTGTCTTCTTTTGTTCTATCTGGAAGAACTCAAAAATAAACCAGGTAATGAGTGTGAGAGATTGCCAAAGTCCTCTATTAATAGCTTTACCGGGGCACAAAAAAGCTGTAGGTGTATTTAGGAGTTAGGTGGTTAAAATCTGAACAAAGATTGCTTCGCAGTCGGCACTATTTGTTCTTGTCAGCTTGTTCCAGTCTGATCAAATCACAGCTCAACAGCCGACATAAGGAGATTTCAGACTAATGTGAGTTGGCACATGCAGCGGTGTGCTTTGCTCTGTTCCTGGTGGCTCATGTGAACACAGGCCTGTTAGTACCATGCCTGGGTAATGCAGTCCAGACGTCCTAATGACTGCTTGTGCTGGGAGCAGTTCCGGGCAGGACTGTGGACTGTGGTGGGGCTCACACACATCATGCACATGGAAATACTGCAGCCAGGGATCGGCCCTTAAAGCTTGCAAGACGTTTCTGTATGTTTTTCTATTTTCTGTGCGCTCAGATTGTTTATGAATCGATCGAGATGTTAATTTAAAAACCTGTACGATACGTTTTTACGGGACAAAGTAACGGATGGTTTTGAAAGGTTATGGTCAAGACACAGAGATACAGAGAACAATGCCAAAAGCTATACAGAAGAACAGTGACCCAATACAATATCATATAGATGAATACACACAATCCCAAACACTCTCTGACCTAACACCTCTGTTTCAAGTAACTGTTTCTTTTATGTAATCTGGTTTTTATCCTCTTTTAATCCATTCCACGCACTGAGATACACATTGATTTGAAAGTACAGTAGTTCCTCGCTACATCGCGGTTCACCTTTCGCAATCTCGCTGTTTCCTTGTGGTAAATTTTGCATTATTTTTTTATAGCATAGCATACTCCAACATCATCATATGCTGTACAACATCACATAACCACTAGTATAACACGACGGTTATCTTTGTTTAAAGTAAGAAGAAAACTGTTATGGCTTGTGTGCCATGGTGACCTATGCAGCTGTATTTTAGAAAAAAAAAGAAAAGGAGTTTAGAAAATGTATAACTTGTGTGTGAGAAGTTTTATAGCCTTAAAACATTAGGCAGCTATAAGGATTTCACTTATTGCGGGTTATTTTTAGTTTTTAGTTTATACCGAGGATAAACAAGGGGCCACTGTACTCGCCGAGCCTACAATCATGGAATAAATTGTGTACATCGCTAGGCTGATCGACAAAGATCAAGCTGATACAGGCCTTTTCAGACAATATAATTTTAAGACTGCTAACTCCCCCATTCATTGGTTGATGTGGGAAATTATATTCTCCTAGATTTTAACATGTCATGGACAGCTCAAGCTTTTACAGTTTTGTCATTTTAAACATTCTAAAACAGATTTTTTGGCTGTCTAACGTCCAGCTGCTGTTGGTCGGTGTGTTGACACTGAGTATGCCTTAAATGTGTAGTGTCAGAGGTGTTACGGGGTGAGAGAAAAGAGGACCCAAAGCTGGGATGCAAAAAAATATTGATTTAACGATGATAAAGGAATTAAAGTCCGAGGTCAAAAAACTAAAATCCAACATAAAACATGGGAACCATGAAAACACAGACGAGGACAAACAAATGGCGTTTTTCCACAGTCCGAGTACGGTACGTTTTGACTCTACACGGCGCGCCATGGCCCAGTTCGTGTGCTTTTCCATCAAAAATAGTACCCCCAGTATGTCCTCAGCGTTGTCAGACCACGTCATTTACGTGTGATACGTAAACCCCAGTTACCTAATGTAACTAAGGTTCTATGAATATGTTGCATATCTCTTCGGAAGCATCGCTTCCCGCCCTGAGAAGATCAAACGATCCACCCTCCAATCACCTTCACGTCCTGGCGTAGGTCTGTCCCCTATAAAAAGGGTCATGCACCACAGCTCTTCTCCTTTTCGAACTCAGCCGAATAAGAGAGGGCAGGCCTGCTGGGCTCGAAGCTAAAGGGCTTCGCAACATATTCATAGAACCTTAGTTACATTAGGTAACTGGGGTTTCTATTTCATATGTTGCTTCGCCCTTTAGGCTTCGCTAATGCATAACATAGCAAAGCCCAGACCAATGTACTCCCAGCAGGCATGAACTCTGGTGATTGGAGCAAACTCGTGACCCTCCTGCTCATACCGCAACCAAGCGGTAGAAACGGAGGTCCTACGAGCCATAGAGAAAGGGATGCAGGGCTACCTCTCCCAAGAGTGCCCGCGCATTCCCCAACCTGCAAAGCAGGAAAGAATTCAGAACAAACCTGGGCAGGCAGCCTTTCCCAAGAGCACCTGAACCCCAGGAATGTAGAGCAGACTGCAGAAGGGTCTAGGCCGCCTCTCCCAAGAGCGCCTACCCCTACTGCAGAGGTGTCCAGGCCGCCTCTCCCAAGAGCGCCAACACCTCTCCACATAACCCTAGACGAAGGAGGAACTAGGGCCGCCCTGCACTCAAAACCGAATGAGCCACAGAGTCAGAGGCCACATCTAGTAGGTAAAACTGCACAAAGGTCGAGGAGGAGGACCAAGACGCCGCTCTGCAGATCTCCTCCACCGAAGTGCCACGGAACAAAGCCACCGAAGCGGCAACCCCGCGAGTGGAGTGAGCCCTCAACTGGGCCGGAGGCGGCAAGCCCTGAGCTTCATACGCCAAACGAATAGCAAGGCAAAGCCAGTGGGCCAAGCGCTGTGGAGACAAAGCAGCACCCTGACTCCTGGTGCCAAACCCGACAAACAACTGATTCGACCGTCTGAGGTCAGACGTGCGGTCCAAATAGCATCTCACAGCCCTGATCGGGAAGAGACTATGACGCCGCTCTTCCTCCTCCGAAGCATGCGGAGGAGGGAAAAACGGTCTCACCCTGATCACCCTAGATATGAAAGATGACGTAACGACCTTGGGCTGGAATGCCGGGTTAGGCCACAACTCCATCATGCCCTCCCGATCGGGGAGGGACAAACAAGACGGCTGCATGGAAAGGGCGCACAGATCCCCAGACCTCTTGGCCGAAGCCAACGCCAACAACAATGCCGTTTTGTAGGACAAACAGGCAATGGTCGCATTGTCCAGGGGTTCAAATGGAGGCCCCGACAGACCAGCTAAGACCACCTGAAGGTCCCAAGACGGAGCCGACCGCCGGAGGGGAGGTCTGATCCTGCGGGCCCCTCGGAGAAAGCGCTTCACCAAGCGGTGGCTACGCGCAGAGTGGCTACCAAACCCCACGTGCCCTTCCCTTCTCCAGCAAAAACTGGAGAAAAGCCAAGACCTCCTGGATGGAACACGAGGTGGGGTCCAGGCCTCTGTCCACGCACCAAGAGGCGAAGAGTTTCCAGCAAACCTCATACGCTTTGGTGGTGGATGTAGCCCTCCCACCCTGAATAGTAGCGACCACTGAGGGAGGGAGACCAAGGCTCAACAGTTTCCCCCTTTCAGCCTCCAAACCATGAGCCTGTGTCCCAGGACAGGGCGTGAGTAAAGGGCTCCCCCTGCCTGTCTCAGAGCATCGGGACGGTCCGGAATGGGCCAAGGCGGACCGAGCGCCATGCTCACCAGGTCCGGATACCACCTGGCTCCCAGGCTGTCCGGCGCCACCACCAGGATGGGGACCCCCTCCCTCTTTACCCTGTAAAGCAGGGCTGCCAAGAGCCGGAGAGGCGGGAAGGCGTAGAGGAGACCGTTGGGCCACACCCTGTGCGCCATGGCGTCCACCCCGAGAGGGGGCTCGTCGCTGGACCTGAACGAGAACCAGAGTGGGCACTGTGCGTTCTCTGCATTTGCGAAAAGGTCGGCCACCGGTGTTCCGAACCGGAGCCAGACCTCCGCCACGACCGCTGGGGCGAGACCCCACTCGTCCCGCAAGGCCCCGCCCCTGGACATCCTGTCGGCGGCCACGTTGCGCTCGCCTGGGATAAGGTAAGCCTGGGCAGGTAAGCTGCCACAGTGGTGTTGTCCGTCCGAATAATCACATGTTGGCCCTCCAGTCTGGTCACAAAATGGGCCAGCACTAACCGCACCGCCTCCAACTCCAGGAGGTTGATGTGCCCCAAGGGGGAGGACCGAACGCCTCCTGCCGAGTGGTGGCCGAGCACGCCTCCCCAACCGCTCAGTGAGGCGTCCGTGAAGACCTGGATGTGGTGGTCCACCAGACCCATTCGAACTCCCTCCTGGAGTCGACCTGGGGACAGCCAGCAGGCGACGTCGTTCCGAGCCCTCTCCGACAGTCGCTCCCTCCGTGATAAACCCCTGAGGTGTGAGAACCACCTCTGGAGATATTGCATGTGCAGCAACCCCAGTCTCACCACTGGATGGGCCGCTGCCATCATGCCCAAGAGTGACCGGATCTGCCGCGGTTGGACCCGAGGTTCGCCCAGAACGACCCGGCCCAGGTTTTGAACCGCCGCTTGTCTCTCCGGTGAGAGTGAAGCCGTCATGCTCCTGGAATTCAAGACCAGCATCAGATACGAAATTTCCTGGGCCGGGCACAGGGAGCTTTTGTCCATATTGATCACAAACCCTAGGCGGGCAACGTGGTTCATCACTCTGGACGTGTGATCCTGCGCCTCCTCCCAAGAGGAGGCCAGGATCAGCCAGTCGTCGATATACGTCAGTATCCTGAGGCCCTGACGCCGAAGGGGTTCTAGCGCCGCCTCCACACACTTGGAGAAGGTGCGGGGGGCTAGGGAGTAGCCGAACGGGAGACGGCAATACTCGAAGCACCCCCCCCCACAGAAAACCGGAGGAACTTCCTGTGCCCCAGAGCAATGGGTATGTGGAAATACGCGTCTCTGAGGTCCACGGAGGACATCCAGTCCCCGGGCCTGATGCTCAGCAGCAGCTGTTTGACTGTGAGCATGCGAAACGGTCGCTTGGCTATGCAGCCGTTGAGGACGCACCCCCCCGCTCTTTTTGGGAACAATGAAGTATGGAGAGTAAAACCCTGTCCCTGCCTTGAGCGGGTCTACCTCCGCTACCGCGCCGCGCTGCAGAAGCGCGTCGACCTCCCTGTGAAGCGCCACGGCAGAAAGGAGGGGGCCGCCGGGAGAACTGGAGAGCATAGCCCCGATGCAGCACTCTGCGTATCCACGGTGTTCCCAGGAGCCCTGCCTGTTCCCATACGGTGACAAAATGAGTCAAGGGAAGCACGGCGGGATGGGAGGAGGGAGTAAGGCCCGGCCCGCCCACAGACGTCCCTCCTGGGGAGGCATCGGATAGTGGGGGGCCCCTGGGAAAAGGGCCGAGCCCTGGCTGCGGCCCTGGGTCCTTTACCGGGTGGCAGCGTAAGGGCAAGCGAGCTGCGCTTACGTGGAGCCGAGCCCCCTTTCCCCAGCACTGTGGACTGAGGGGGGGCCGAGCAGTCCCCCTTAATGCTCTGGATAGTGGGGGGCCCCTGGGAGGAGGGTTGAGCACTAGCTGCGGCCCTGGACCTTTTTCCGGGTGGCCGCAAGAGGGCAGGCGTGCTTTGCTTCCGCGGAGCCGGGCCCCCGCCCCCCAACACTGGAGACTGAGGGGGGGCCGAGCAGTCCCCCTTGTTCTTCTGGATAGCTGCAGCCCTGTGCCTCTCACACGGAGCGCTGTGAGCTGGTGCTGCTGGCGCACAAGGAGCGTAGGAGGGGAGCGCACGGTCACGCACTCCCTGCCCACGGGAGGCGAAACCACGGGGAGTGCACAGCGAACCTGGAGCCTGCCTCCAACGTGCCACCTCGCAGCGCGTTGAGAGAGGCTCCAGACGCCCTGTAGAGGAGCAGCGTTGGCCAAATGCTGAGTGAGAGGGAAAAGGGAAAGAAGTTGACTCTTTATGGGAGTAACGGGCCTGCTTGCGGCCTTTATTAAAGTATTTCCCTCCCCTCCCTGTAGCTGGAGAGCCGGGGTGGCTGCCGCTCCTCCGTTGGTCACGAGCTCGCTGTCTCCCGCGCACAGGACCCAGAGAGCCTCCAGGCTCTGAACGATGCGGGGGGGCCGGGCGGTCACGGGTTCTTCGCTCCGCATAACCCGGACGCCGTGCCGTGGGACGAGGAGCCCGCGGAGGACGGAGATGCTGTGCCAACTGAGCGGAGGTCTTGGACGCTGTTTCCATCCGCTCCACGAGGGTCTGGATGTCCGGTCCAAACAAGGAAGAGGAGGAGAGCGGCAGATCCAGAAGGCGCCGCTTATCAGCATCCCTGAGAGGTGACAGGCCCAACCAGAGATGGCGGCAGGCGACCTGGGCCGCACACATGGACCTACCACCGTCCACCGCTAAGCCCTGTGCCATGCGGAGGAAGGTGGCCATAGTATCCTCAGCCTCCTCGATATCCGTCCGGGAGAGCTCCTCCCGACCCCGGATGAGAGTGTCGAGGGAAGCAGCGAGGAGAGTCATGTTATTTGCCAAAGCAACGACCTGTGTTGCATTGGCATAACATCTGTCGAGCATGGAGATGGTCAGCTTGTCCCGCTCGGAGGGAGCTGCCAGTCCAGACCACGGAGATGAAGCTGGAAGCAGAGTTTGGCTGCCATGGGCCTATCCCACTCACGGCTGGCATAATGCAGCAGCGGTTCCATCCTGGGAGAGACCACCTCGCGTCTGCGTCGCCGGGGGGAGGGAGCGAGGGACTGTAAATTGTCCACCGGAGGCGAGGCGGGCTGGACCGGCATCGCCATACGCATCCTGACCACAGCCGATGCGGTCAAATGCGAGAAACGATCCAGGGGATAGCGCTCGCGTTGCCCCACCTCCTGGGAGTAGGAGGACTGGGCATCCTCCTCACAGGGCTCCACCAACTCCCCCTCATCGTAGTCGGACCCTGGTCCAGATCCAGAGCCTGACATCTCCGCTGATCCAGGCGAAGCAGCAGTGTGGGCGGAGGGTGGCACACCATGAGCGAGGCCACCCTGGGCATCACTACAGGCGGCGTTGAGTAGCCCGCTGCGCCTGTCGTGCTCCTCCCTGGGGAGCGCGAGGCAAGCCACACAGCTGGGGCTTTCCTCCGCGGCATGACGCCAGCCCAGGCAGAAGACGCAGGACTCGTGGCGGTCAGCCTGGGAGAGTGCCGCTGGGCACGAGTCGCAGACCCGCAGCCTGACACCGGAGGGTGACAGATCTTCAGGCGCGGCGAACTTGCTTGATGACATCTTTAATCCAATGAATCGAAGCTTCTCTTAGGCAAGCTGAGAGAGAAAGGAGAAGAGCTGTGGTGCATGACCCTTTTTATAGGGGACAGACCTACGCCAGGACGTGAAGGTGATTGGAGGGTGGATCGTTTGATCTTCTCAGGGCGGGAAGCGATGCTTCCGAAGAGATATGCATTAGCGAAGCCTAAAGGGCGAAGCAACATATGAAATAGAACTAGTACTGGTGCGGTGCATGGATTTATTATAATATCAGAGCAAGTGTTCAGCAAAAATTCAGCATAGCACGAGTAGTTTTTGAAAATGCTTATGTCTTAAAATAATGACCCAGACACTGAAGTCAGTGGTGCTGACTGCTCTGTACAATCTGAATGGGACCTTTAGCAACAGCAGCCTGTGTAGCAGAGGAGGAGGGCTGCATGTCCAAGGATACTGCTAGGCTAAAGCTAATGCTAGCGCTAGCTCGAGACTCAGCTCACTCACTAACCCTGGATTCCAAAGCTACTACAATACTACACTTAACACATCTATCACTACCATCAGAGGAGGATCCGGGGTTTAAACTCGTCATATGGCAACTCGAGCAGTAAAGGACCGAGGGAGAGACAGAAGCAGCCATAGGGGTAGCGAGTTAGCGGCTAGGCTAGGCTAAGCTAAGCTAGGCTAGTCCGGACTCGGGTCCGGACTACAGCAGACTCCGAGACCAGACAAACAATCGATACCCAAACCTCAGCTACAATAATAATAAATGAATGAAACACAGTCTTGATACAATCACAGATTTATTGAAAACAAAAGTAAAGTGCAAAACCAACAGTTTAGAAAGTCAAAAGTACGTATGTCTACTATCTCCACACTTATGGGAAGGGATTATCATACAAATATACACACGACAACTTAAATACAAGCACAAAACAGAATGACAACACGTGAATACTGCAGATAATACGAGACAAAGCACAGTAATAACAGGGAGGACGTTAGCTTAGCTGCTATCGATAGCTAAATGAAGCTAAATGTAGCTAGCTCACTGTGTACAACAGACAATCGAGCATGTACCGAGTAAATACATTTCAGTGAGAGCTTTAGGGGGTTCGTAGCTAGCCAGTTATTTCCAGGATTACCACAGACTAGTCACAAATCCAGAGCGATCTCCTGAAAACTGTGTTGAGCCTCGAGCTGCCTTTGAATTCTTTCTTTGGGCTGAAGAGAGGAACGTGTGGACCTCGTCCACCGACCAGGACCAGGACTTTTGGGGCTTTCTGTGAGATTCCATTTCTCTGGAGTGAGGAGGACGTAATGTAGCCGAAGCAGAGCCGAGCAGAGTAGCCGGTTTTAAAGATGGCGGTTGAGTTGTTTTTCCCAAAGGGTCAGATGTCGCTTCCAGTGACGACACTCGTTGACCAATCAGTGTAAGGCAGTGGGCCGACGTGACGTCATGGCACGGGTACTATGGGGATGGAACCAAGGCTGAGGCAGTACGGAAAAGTACTCAAATCTCCCATACCATCCACTAGTGGAAAAGCAAAATAGGTGCGCCGTACCGTACCGAAATGAACTGAACCGACACTGTGGAAAAACGGCAAAAGACAGACAAGACCAGGCGAAGACAATGGACCAGCAACAAGTGGGTATGAGCACAGGTACAATATGCTTAAAAGACGATATGGGTCAAACATGGACGTTGGTTAGACAATTAGTTGGAAGAGACGAAGGCAGTAGTAACAACAATCTGCGCACAATTGACCAAGGGGAATTATTTTCAGTTTTTCAAGAAGAATACAAAGTTGAAGGTAGTTTTTAACATGAAAATGTGTGTCATTCCAAGACACACAAACAGAGAAACTGGAACGAACAAGACGATACGACTAGTACATGAGGTACTATCAATACCATGACAGAGGGACACCATGTTCTTCAGATATTGTGTCTGTTCAATGTTCACAATAGAACATTGAACATAAAAAATACAGTGGGTGTGATGTCACAAAAGAGTCTGATGGATCTCAAGGTCACAGATGTTGACAGAAGTGAATTCATGAAAGTTTCCTGTTATTGAAGTTGATTTTGGCCGAAACAAACCAAACTAAAGTACATAGTACTTCATAACTGACATATGGGCTTTTAGACAGAAGGGACAGAGCTACATGTTTGTGCTAGAAGTTCCTGATAATCACGTGGATGGATGAGTTTTTTTTTTTGAGTGAACTATGTTGTAACATGGTTAAAAACTCAAAAAAATACATTTGGATGATTTCATTAAAAAAGTGTAAGTAAAGTCCATAGTCCAATGACCTTTTAAGTCCACTCACTTTATCACTAGTCATCAGGCATCAGGATTTGCGCCTAGTCACAAAGTATAGGCAGAAATCTTGCTTGTTTGGAGGTGACCAAACACAATTTTTCCACCATAATTTGGAAATAAATTCTTTAAAAAGGTGATTATCTGGATTTTTTTTCCTCATTCTGTCTCTTATAGTTGAGGTAGGATGACAATTACAGGCCTCCCTCATCTTGCTAAGTGGGATAACCTGCACAATTGGTGGCTGACTAATTACTTTTTGGCCCCACTGTTCATATAGACACAGAGAGACACAGGGAAAACACATGAGAGCGGGGCAGTTAATCAACAGGGGAACTTGACATGAAGAAAAACTAAAATCACAGAGAAAATCCACACCAAGACAAGAGGGTCATTTGACGATCCATTTTGCCACTGTGACATGTGAAATGCAAGCAGAGAAAACACACAGAGCCATTGGAATATAAGGGACGAATGACCAATGTCCATAAATGTTGATAAATGTCCATAAATGTTGTTGAATTTCGAGAGTCCTGGATCATCACCACTGTCCTAGACCCACTTGCATTCTTTGAACTGCCTGCTTTAATGTTAGATTCATATCTCCTGTTCTACCACTATATTATGGTTCTCTAATGATCCTGATCTATTATTAATACAATGTTCTTGTTTTTTCCCGAATATTTTCTATTAGAAATAATGGTATTGCCTGAAACATGAAATGAAATAGTATTCTACAGATCAATGTTTAGGGCCAAAACAGATACAGACACATGCATCATATCTGTTCTTTCAAACCAGGACCTTCTTACTGTGAGGAAATAGTACAAAGCACTTGAATGCCTGCTCATTTGATATACTGCGCTAACAAAAAATAACTCCCGGCTGCAGAATTATTACATCTCTGGACGTCTGAAATCCCTCTGGTTGTTTTTTAAGAGCTGTCACACCTTGGTAATGTTAAACGCAGGCCTGCCTAAATGACACTTAAGGTGAAAGAGAAAAGAGCCCAAACAAACAGAGGCGTATCCGTGGCAACGTACAGGCCCCTGCTGACATGGTTAATGCACCCCCACTTAGCGCTTCGAGCAGCAGTCAGATGGTGGTAAGAACATTACACTGGACTGGTCTGTTTTACACTGAGAAGAACGAGTGTTTTCATTGAGAAGACGGTGTGCACAGGAAGTGTGTCCGTCCTGTTTTGTGAAAGTTTGTGAGAAATAGTCACAAGTTTGAAAGAACAACTTTGAATCATGTTAACTTGTTTCCCTTATTATTTACCCCCTGAAAGTTTTTGTCTTTAAATGGCACACATGGGATATCTTTGGTAGCCAGGATCAGGGTCTTTTCTGTTTCTCCCTGTGTCTCGTGGGTTTCCTCCAGGTGCTCCAGTTTCCCTCATCACCCAATCCTCCAGTGAAGGCCCTCCTGGAGATGGGTACTTGTACTCCCTTTACTACCTCTTTTTGACGTTTTCATAACAGTTTGCTTCTATTATTAGAATCATTCACTTTTGGCAGAACCTCCTCCCTCATTCAGCCAATCAGCTTCATAGACTGTGGATATTAACGGACGTAGTGACGCCTCTTTCCTCTGTTTAAATGTATGTGACACAGACATGGGAAGATTCCTAATGGCCGCATTTAACAAGCGCATTCAAAAGTCCACAGCGGCTAAACTAGACAGGTCAAAAAAAATAAACAAAAATAACTCATCTCAGCATTTACTTCCATCTGGCCAAGAGCCAACTTTTGGACCAGGCTGTAAAGCAGTTTTCGAGAGGAAAAAAGGTGTTGTAAAAATACATTTAAACATTTAAGAATGCGCAACATTGTTTTTCCACGGGCAAGGAGCCAGATCACAAACATGTCAGCGCACATGCTCACAGACTTTTTTTAAGCCGGGACCTGCCCCCAAAGATCTGCTCTCAACCCAAAGCGTCAAATACTGACTCACACGGCTGAAAAATATAATATGTTTCCAATTAAGATGAAGACGGCATGACAACATGGTCTTTGTTCACTACACTTTACTTTCACATGACTCCTTCTGTTGGAACAAACACAAATATTTAGTTATGAAAATTCAAAGTTAGGTACCACAGCTTTAAGACCTGTGATAAAGAGTTCTGTTTGGGATCGTAAGGTTCCTTGGAAACAGACACAATGAGTAGAATCAGGTAAATCCTTAAATGCCCTAAACTCATGGGGTTTGAGCATCAATAACGTGATGCTGTCAGGAACATGTGTTTGAAGTCTGCACAGATAGAATCTAGACCTTGGCTGGCTTCACCGGAGAGGAGCTCCTGAGGACACACAACAACCTGCCACACACACAGCATCTGCTCTACACACACACACACACTCACACACACACACACACACTGGGAACTCACTCT